AAGTTAGGAAACACTGCAATATAACATTGCACACAGTTCAAAAGCAGCATTTCATTAGAGTGTGGAAATAGGAGTATATTTTTTCTGTTTAGGACATGCTGTAACTGATATTTCTGATAAAAATGACAGGCTCGCCAAGTACTAAGCGTTCCAGAAAGTGGTCTTTACATACAAACACGCACATACAGCACAATACCAGCATCAGAACTGATATTGTGTTACCTAGAGAAAAAAAAATTTTTCTATGCCTTGGAATGTGCATATCTTGCAGATGTATGCCTTTCACATGGTACAAAGAAATTGCCTGAGCCTCCATCTAGCAATTGTTAAGAGGTCAGAGCTCGGCAGAAAAAAGAAAAAAAAGCATACAGCAAAAATGTTTACACTTCACAATCCAGTAGGTATCAAACCTTAATTCCGTGACATATTTGATCACGTTTACACTTACAAATTATTTAATCAGAAATGTGATTATTAACTAGTATATCACTATACTGAAGGATGAAAAGTACTTTTCTACATTTATAGTTAATTGAAAGGCTGTCTAAACCACAAAAAGCATAGCAATTACAGCTGAAGACTCATCTCAAAATGATATCCTTGGAATGAAGCATGTACTTATATGCTGTGTAGTTTAATTTCTTGTAATGGGATTCTTTTAATTTAGATTTTACTGGGTGGTTAATGGGTAAAATCAGTAAGTGAAGATCAGTTACATTATGACAAAGAATTAACAAGGGATTGCTACTAAGGCAGAACTCAACAGGCACCGTTAATTAAAGGACCCTCTGTCTTAAAGCCCAACGCCAGACCAATCCTTTTCTTAAGTTAAGGGTTAGTTGACTTCTGTTAACTTTCTAATGCAATCTATGTACTCATATGGGCGATTTTACCTTGCTTCCTTTCTCAACAGAAGTGAGGGAAAGTCTCCTCCCTTCCTGTCTATTTGATAGGATTGTGCCAGAACAGGAAGTCAGGGGAAATAAACCTGATGGCATCACAGGCAGGGACAAAATCTACATAACAAACAGAGTGAGGAAGGTTCAGCACTTTGTCAGGATTGTATAGCAGTCTGTTACCCCATTAGGTAGACGTTTCCTTATTTTCCTAGCCAAGTGGTAGGAATCACACTGAATGAGCAAAACAAATTTACTTCTTTGAGAAAAATATAGCATTTCAAATTCACAGTATAAAAAGCTCCTCAATGGGCCCACAGATTCGCAAACTAGGCAGAAGTTTAAAAACTAAAAGGATTTTACTCTAGTTGGGTTTTATGTTTCACCACTGTGTTAGTGTAAGCCATGAGAGTGAGCTTTATAATCATTCACAATCAAATAAAGCTGGTATGACAAAACCCCAGAACTTACAATACGTAGGGGCCTTTTGCATACGAACATTAAAAGTGCTTTGCTTAACTGCCGAATGTCTTATTATTTGGTATATAACACTTGTTGAACAGCCTGATGGTGTTTTTTGCTGGAGTAATTGCAGCTGCACAAGAAAGCTTTAAAGCAGAACTCTGGGCAAAAACATTTATACATGTCCTAGTTGCTGATTTTCTACCATCACTACTGAATAGGGCATCCATCTTCTTGTTAACTCATTAGATGCTATGAAATGGCCTGGTAATCTTCAAATGAAACTGTTAATTCCCAGTGGTTTCCTGTTTGTAAGACCAGTGGGTGCTATGCCTCCTACTCCCCAAGCTACTGGTCTTGGCACATCCATTCTGTAGTTCTTTTTCCAGCAAGCAATGATGTAATTCCATTCCTGGTGGCTGTAGTAGGTGGACCGGGACTCTCAGACTCCTGATTTGTGGTCCAAGAATTACAGCGCATGACATTGTCTGTAATGACCCCTCAATCATCCCCCATCCCTGTCCACATGGCCAGAAGTCTCTTCCCCTTCTCCACTCCACTGCAGTCATTAGCCCATGTCCTAGCAACTGATGACTCATCCCTGGTCCCAAACGAAATAGAAAAAAGGGGGAGGGGCGAGATTCAGAACCACCGGCATTAAGACAGCCAAGCAGGGAAACAGGCTCAGTCATAACCGTTTCCCCCAGGGATACACAGTGAGCACAGAATTTGATTTTGTACAAGAGGGGAGCCCAGCACCTGCACACAGACTTAAACCCACAGCTGCAGGGGAGAGAGCAGAGGGAGTGGCTCACAATTAACCCCCTAAATTGCTTGACATTTTTACCATTTAACCTTTTTAATTCCCTGTGCTTGATGGTAACTGTAGTTTTCTTTCACTGCAGAGAGAGGGAAATTATGTGATCCCTAATACACCTCCCTGCAGGGCAGATGCTGTTACATTTTTAATTAAGGAAAGGCTGTTGTGAAAATTCACTTGGACTTTTGTCCTCAGTGGTAAGGATTTTAAATATGTAATTAACCGTTTAATGTTTCGTATAGGTGGGTGTACTAATGGATGGTTTTTACCCATCCCTGACTTCTTCTTTAATGCGGACTTTGAATGGCTTTTGCACTTTAGTGCAAAATTTATCTGGTAGGAACTGGAACAAAGTTCAGCTCTGCAGAGAGCACTACTGAAATAATTCCATTATATCTTAATGGGCTGCTATTCCCTTTTCAACTTCAGACACTGAAATAAGATCAGGTTTGGCTAGTCCCCTTTAAGACAGGTTGAGTGTATGGTGGGATAGCAGGATCCCACTATGTTCAGACAAACAAAATTTTACTGTTACACTTCAGTGGGGAACCTTTTTGGTCCTTTTTTTGGCTGTTCTATATATTGTGCTGTGCAAAATTACAAGGAAATAAATCAGCACATGCATTTCAATGCAAAGTGAGAACAAGCCCTTAATCGGTACAAAGAGCTCTAGAATTTTAATGGCACATGTACTGGAATCCAATGTAATAATTTAGGTAGTGGCCTGTGTGGCAATTCTCATATTCACACACACTTGGAAGCTGCTTGCAGCTAATGAAATGCACTTCAATGCGACCCTCAGCACGAATTAAGAATTGTGCCAGCACAGGCAAGAAACAAACCTGTGTGTCTGCTGTTCAACAGCAGTTTTCCTTACACTTACAGGAGAAGAGCTAAGGGCACAGTGCAGGTAGCCATCTGGAATGAACAGACTTAACATTAGGGCCAACAGTATGAATGAATCAGCATGATAAATGGAGACACAAAGTAGTAATCTGTTACAGGCAAAAATAACATTAATATTAATAATATGTATCAAAAGAAAGGATGCACAAGAGGAAAGCATACAAGAGAATCTACAGCTATGACAAAAAAGCTTTAGAAAATAGTGTAATGTGAAAAAAAAAAAAAGGTGAACCAACTAACAAATAACCCCCTCCTCCCCCCCAAAAAAAAAAAACATTAGTTGGTTGCCCTAGAAACTGATCAAGATGAACTACAAACATGCATCGCATTTACATTCATTTGTGTGCCACTACTGTTTGTTGTCCAGGTTAATAGTTGCTATGAAAAACATTTCAAATCATTACTCTAATGCCCTTTTTAAATCAGTGATGCCATTAAAACTGGGCCATGCGAATAGATAGATTGATGCAGCTTCATAACACAAGCTTCCATGAGGTGAAAAAATATGTTTTTACATTCTTTCATAATTTAGTCACAAGGTTTCTAATGGTGCTGTTTATTGCTCTAACAGCCAGAGAGTTTTTTCAGTAAAGTTAATATTTTGCAAAGAAAACCATTGCATTTTGTACACTGTCTGCTTAAAATGGCGTTTCTTCAGCTGGGCATATTTTGCAGGAAAGCTCTCCACTCTTTATAAAAACCAGCTATGTCTTACCATCATTGCTGTGTGTTCCGCTTGGTGAAATGATTGTGTGTGGTTTGTTAAATATTCATTACATTTTTCTTCCCAGAACAACTCTGGCCTGACCTGTAACTGGCAGAATTTCTTTAATCTGTGTCAGACAATGCAATTATCACTCTATCTCACTAGACGACAGGCTAAATTTTCCATAACACAACCAATGTTTTATATGTGACACGAAATTTATGACAGCCAATTCCCGACACTGGAACAAGTAAAACAGTGTGTGTGTGTGTATATATATATATATATATATATATATATACACATACAAATATATATATATATATATACACATACAAATAAATATATATATATATATATATATATATATACACATACAATATATATATATATATATATATATATATATACACACACACACAAACTATGACTGAAGTGAGAAATCAAACAACACTTCAGTCATGTATAATTATTCTATATATACAAATTTGGCCCCCAGAAAAAGCAGCAATGTTTCCAGAAGCATAAGGCTGATTTGCTATGTGAAGTACATCTGTGTATTTGTCATAGTAAAATGGATGTTCATAATTAAAACTGTGTCAGGGACCCGAATCTAAACATTTTTCTGCTCTGACACTTTGTGACAAATGATGGATAAGAGCATCGGCACATGCAATGCATATGATTTCTGCTAAACGCGGCTAACAAATGAGGAAGCTGTCATAAATTTCAGCCGCTGTGTGCTGTAGGGATAACAGGCTGCTGATTAAAAGGAAATATTAATATTGGAAGCTGTGCTTCCCAAAATGACATTGCAAAGATACCCAGAATACAGAACATGACATTTTTAAACCATGAAGTGCACTGCTAGGCAATATACAGAAACAGAAGGTCTGTGTGCCCTTCATTTATTGTGAAATATGAGCACTACAGCTATAGCTATTATCAGACTACAACTAAACTGCTCACAAACTAAAGTTCCTGCGCACGGATGTCACTGGATGAAACAGTTTAGCGCTGTTAATAATATGATGGATTAGTAATGTCACAGAATAATGGCAGTGCAGAGACTCAAAACGATTGGATTTCCTACACAGATACCGTACCCCTGTGGAGTAAATGCTGTCTTTTCTGGCTCACATCAGAGCGTGAAGTGTATCTTTCCAGAGACAGTTTACAAGCACATCTTGACATTGATCTCATCACTCACCTTGTTCTCTTGTGTAACAAGTATGCTGGCCCCTCCTGGTTTTAAGGGCACTTCTTCCATAGCTCCGAACACATCAGTCTCTACGGAGAAAGTCAGTTCCAGTCCCAGGTCACTAATATCATTATCTAAAATCCACTGCAAGTTCTTTGCGTATTCTGGGTCAATGGAGGCCACGTCCTGATAATTTACTGGGATACCTGCAGTATTAAAGCATGTAGATATTTAGGAAGAGAGTTCTTTTCATCCAATATACTCTTTCAGGCATCTCTTGCATTAAGCTGCCATCTTCAGGAGCAGAAGCGCAATGCAGCACATTGATCTAAAAGGACTTGATAATAGGAGCTCTGATTTTACTCTAAACTACACATTTTAAGAAGCTGAACCTCAAATATAAAATGTATTATATTTCTTATTCTGGACATTTAAGTTGTATCGGTTTATATAGTTAAAGTTTAATTACAATTCTAAATATTTGGCATGCATTTCTGGCACCCACAAATTACTGTCTGTCAACGTATGAAATATGTTTGGAGCCGTACTTAAGGAAACACTTGCTTCACTGCAAGTGTACCCACTATTAAAAGGACATTTCAATTAGGACTCGATTCACCAAAGATTGTTCAATCTCAAACTGTAAAACAAGTGAGATTCAGACATGATTAACTTTTCATTTCAGCAGTCTGCTGAAGACCAAGTAGCATTTGCCTGCGGCATAACTAGCAGTACTCATGCTCAATGCTAGGACATAAAAAAATGGTTTTGATGTGAAGTTATTCTTTACTTGTTTCCAGAACTGCAAAGAGGAATAGAAGGATTTATAAAAAGATTTGACACTGACATCAAACTTTTGGCATGGCAAGCGACATTTTCAAAACTGTAAATCACTACAATTAGATGAAGAAATGTTTTAACAAAAACTATTATAGCAAAAAAAGTATTTTGATCATTAGGTATAGGCTTTATACTGTAAGTGCAACAACAGTGTTTAGTATATGTATTCAGTATATGAATTCCCTTTTTTTTAATTTTACTTCATATGCCTTTAGTAACATTTTTCTCCACATTCACAAAACAAAGCAACAGTGACAATGTTTGGGACAAACTAGAACATTGCCAAAGCCTGCAAATCTCACTTTTGATTGACATATGAAATTCAAAATAAAATATGTTTTTACGCTTTGCCCTCACCATTTATTATTTTTGTAATAGCGATTAAGTAAATATCCAAATTTCAAAAAAAAGAAAATAAAAATCCATCTTTCAACAATGCCCACTGCTAGCCAAATTCTTTATATTCATACCAAGGATGTGCTTGTAAAATGACCTGGTGAAGTAAATGTTGACCAGTTGCCTATGATAGAGTGCAAGCCCCAGAATTTCACCAGCAAATCTGAAATAGTTCAGGTGGTCTGGATTCACTGAGGAGTTACTGTTTGGCTGGAACGTTGTTCCTGTTGAAAATTTTAAACACAAATCATTTTAAACCAGTAACCTCAATATGCAAATTACATTTATTAAGAGTCAGTTTCTCATAACCAAGATAAAATACAAGTCTTGCTCAAAAAGTTCACTAAAAATTTCTGCAGGGAGAGTCCTCCCTGTCTCACCAGCCTGAAATAACTAAAACTTACTGTGCACCTTTAATTTAGTAGTAAAAATAGGAAAGAGGAAGCATGAGGGTGAGGGGGGTAAGTGAACACTGGTAAGGGTTTCAACTGGGGGAAGTTTTAGACCATCTTAGAAAGGTTAGTTCTAGGGTCTGCTCAAGTTTTCTTTAACTACAATAGCGTCTGCAAGTTATCAGGATAGCATTAGGAAATTAGGTTGTGGGAGAGTTAGGTGTCACAGATACAGCTATGAACATAGGAAAGGTGATGACACTGCACACAAAAAGCAGGGAAAAATGTGAGAGTCGCCGCCAGGATAAAACAGCAGTTACTTTCTACAGCTGTCTCTCTGTAGCTCTTTCGGTTTTATCTTTATCTTCTCAGAACCCCACTGGAAGTGAAATGTCAGTCTCAGTAAATTACAGTGCTAACATGCAATACAATTTAGTAAGTATGTGATATTTTTACATTTTTTGTTTTAGTATTTAATGGTATAATATTTATGCGCTGTTTGCACTTATGCAATAATTGTTACCAAAACGAGTACTGCAGTGATTAACATACATGCAATAGAGCAAGGTTTTGAGGTACAGGAGACTGGGTCAAATATCAGCTTTCCAAAGTATACTTACTACTGCATAAACCTAAACTAACTATATCCGTCATCATTCTTCATAAAGCAAACCAGCACTGGCTGTTCAACGGCTGAAGAAAGAAAATACTGGGTCTTGAAGAAGCTGCAGAGAAGATAGCAATGGAGTGGCAAAAGAAAGTGTGAACCTTTTATTGCTGGAGAAGGGCAAGCAAGCTTGCACATTATTGCAAGTGCTCTTGGAAACCCACAGTGGCTCAGTTGTACTTTAAAGAAAACCTGTTCCCATTACAAATTTAATAAACAAACACTTCATTCCCATCTGCATCTTTAACAAGTGCTGTGGATGGTGAGTTAAAAAATATTCTGTGTGATGCATTTTACAACAAAATACGCATTACATAGAGATCCATTTTAAAATGGCATTTGAATCACCCTAAAAGATTGTAAAAACTGACAGTATCATACACAGTGCTTCACAGCAGCCGTGACATGGAAGCAATGCATGCTACGAAGTGCTGCCCATACAAGTGAACCAAATCAAATTATAAATACATAAACATATAATTAAATTAAAATATAGCAGGTTGTGGTGGATCAGAATTTAAGCAGATATCAAAATGGAATGTGTCAGCAAATTTTCAGTTTGAAGTGCAAAGGTGGACAGAAATAAAGCATCTCATGCATGTGCATCTCCAGAGTGATTTTTATTTATTTAAAAGATTTTGATTACCTACCATCTGCTGATTGTGTGAAAAGGGCATAATCAGGATTGATAATTTCAGATGACAATATGTCAAACCATTCTCGCACAACTCCTTGTCCCTAGGATAAAAATGTATATAAAAATTGTACTATAATTACTAATAAAAGTTGACAATCAACTGGTTCATTTAGATTTCATTGTGACTGCTGTCAAAATCCTAAACTCTTCAACATACAATGCTACACAAAATACACTGAAAACAGCATGTATGATTATTTGTGATCCACTGATCACATCTGATGCAACCTTTTTATTTGTATTATAGGATTTCTATAAATTATGGACACTACACTTAATGAAATAGCCTGTAAAATGACAGCCTCAATGAAATGCAGGGATCCACCCTTAAAGCGGTAATAAAGTCCACTTTGCAAGTTTTACCTACAGATAAACTTATAATAAGGCTGACCTGTAGGTAAAATGAATATCCCCTAAAAGTGCACCGTTTAGGAAATATTCCAGTGAGCAGCAGCCGCTGACGTCAACAGCGCACGTGCTCTGAAGGGACAGCATACTCAAGATAGAATCACTGTCAGTGTGCCGCTGGGGCAATTCCATTCTATAGGTAAGTCTGACATAATATACTAGTATGCGTTGTATACTAGCACATTGTGGCTTAAACCTGCAGTGGGACCCTTTTTTTTTCAGGTTACATTTACAGCCACTTTAAGTCAGGTTTCCATTTTACACATAGCATCTCCAACATGCAAACCATAACTCCTACTAAGAATGTGTGGCAGGAAGCTAGGAAAAACTATGGGTTGTATCCAGGATGGAAGATACACTATATGTCCCAGCTTTAAGCAACACAGATTTTTTTTTCCATTTTGTACTGTGTGGTAAGCCTGTTGGGCTCACTGAGAGGTTACTTAGCTCAGCTGAAACAGGTTGACCACTCTGAGCTCTATAAAACTCCCAGGCTGCTTAGGGAGGATGCTCCATCCTGGAACTAGATTTCTGTGGAGACAGATTGTGGAACTGCCATTTACTTGTATGGTGAGACAAAGTTTGTGTGACTATGGACCCACTAACATATTCTGTGTGAAAACCAAGTGTCTGGGCAGCAGTAGGCTGTTTCAGGACAAGTAGTTAGGTTCCTTTGTTTGCAGTTAAGACGCCCAACATGGCAAGGGTTTATTTTGTTTTTGTTTTATTTTGCTGTTTTGATACCTGCACTTTGTGATCACAGACTTTGTAAATAAACCGCAATTGTTTTTCACCAAGATCCTGCTGTCTTGCTGTGCCTTTTTCACCATTCTTTGAGTCATCCAGGGAGTCCAGCACAACCCGCTACTGAGCTAATTGCTCACAAAAGAAAAAGGCTAACTTACCCCTACTGGCTCTACATTTTGATAGGTGGGCAAATAAAGGGTTGTGGGAAGGGGCTAACAAGCCCAGAACTTAGTTATCAAATGGAGAGACTTGCAATTTGGGCAAACCTGGGTTTTGGGCACACATGAGAGGGTCTCCATTTCATTTAGGCTACAACTTTGCAAGAAACTTCCCACAGTGTAGTATGTAAACATTTACTGATGAAAAAGGCAGAGTGACTACTCAAGTCCTTTTGGACGGAAGCTTGGTGACGTAATTTCCGGTACGGACGGCAGCTACAATCTTGGTACACCTCAGTGTATACACCTCTCTGCACTGCACTTTTTCTTGCCTGCATGTGGACCCTGTTTTTAATGCAAGTAGTCACTCTACCTTTTTTCTCCATACATGTTTACATACTACACTATGGGAAGTTTCTTGATTTAATTTTCCATTGGAGAAGAGAGTATGTGGCTATATCCGTGAGGGGACATCTGAGCCATTACTGCTGGTACGCTTTTGAGTGCTTACTATCTCCACCACAGAGGATTGCCCTGACCATTAACGAGGGTATACACAGGGATATCATAATTTAAGTGCATTTAAAAGCCTTATGACCCCTTGTGGGTTGCAGTCTGGAGGTGAGAGCGCACACTAGCTGGTGGAGGATTTGTGCTTTTTGCAGTGGTCACTGGATGTTTCATGGCCTTTGAGGAAGATACACAGGTTCATTGGGACTTAAACTTTATTGTGGCACTTCACATTTCTTTATTTATATTATTTATGTACCATTGATCACTCCATTTGGTCACGGATTTATTTGTTCAATGTTGTCACTTTTATTTACACTGTGTGGTTTTGTTTTACTTGCATTGAGTGATTTGTTTTCCCCAATATTTTTGTTCAAGATGTATTGGGTCATGTATTTACATTAACATAGTATGATTATTTGTTATATGATTTTATTTCACACTGTGCGGATGTAGTTATAATGCATTTATTGAGTAGCGTAGCATCAGTCAGTCTTCAATTGTTTTCACTATTGGAAATACAGTTAGGTGTCTGCGGCCACTCGGGGGTATTTCTAGGGTTTGTGGCAGCACAGGAAGATTCTTTCTATTATGAAGAACACACAGTGTGCCACAGTAGTGTCCTCTGCCCCTCTTCACATCACCCCATCATAGCAGTGGCCCCTTCACATCATTCTCCAACTGTAGTGTCCTCTGCCCTCCTCCCCCACAGTAGTGTTCTGTTCAGACGGGAGCTGCCAAAGTCCATAATAACAAGTTGATGGTTGGTTACTAGGACTGCCTAGCAACTAATCACTGAGGCAGCTCCAACCCTCCATGCATCACTATGCTGCCTCCTGGCCTCCGCTCTGCAGTTAACTTAAGAGTGGCGGAGGCTGGGGGGAAGCAGAGCCGTGGTTACAGTCTACCTGATGGATCCCCATGATTTACAGCTTGCCAACCATCATTCTAGACATTGTAGTACATACACCTATATCTATCTAGATATTTTTCATCATTATGACTATATTTTTGGCTTAAAGTGATTGTAAAGGCCCAAGTTTTTTTACCTTCATGCATTCTATGCATGAAGGTAAAAAAATCTTCTGTGTGCAGCAGTGCCCCCAGCCCCTTCACTACTTACCTGAGCCCCATCCCGATCCATCGATGTGTACAACAGCCTCGGCTGTCCCGTGTCTCTGCCTCTTCATTTGCTGAGACAGCAAGCGGGAGCCCTTGGCTTTCTCTGCTGTCAATCGCAGCCAAAGAGGAGAGACAGGGGGCCAAGCCGTGGCTCGGTGTGTGAATGGACACACGAGGGGCACCTGACAGAAAGGAGGAGCCAGGAGAGCCTGCAGGGGACCCGATAAGGTGAGTGTCCAGTCTGCTCCGCACAACACCACTGCACACAGCAGGTAAATATAACATTTTTGTTATTTTACAGAAAAAAAAATATGAACCTTTCAGTATTGCTTTAATATTGTAGTACTGATTAAGGAGACTGGTGTTGACCCTGAACTGGGTTGGACATTTTTATTTTCATTTTGTTTACAAAAAAAAAAAGCATCTTTTATACAATTTTGGTCTGGCACTCCTTTCTGTATTTCTATGCTTTGAGCTAATGTTGGGTGTCCATCTTGCAAAGCATTGGTGTGTGTGTGTGGGAACTGCCTCACCAGAGCTACTGGGCTTGTTTTGAAGTTTTCCTTCATCTGACTACACAAGAAAAGTCTAAAACTTTCCAACACATCTCAAAAGTATATTGTTCTGGAGTTTTCTATTGCGGTTTGTGTCCCTATTATGGTGATTCACTCTAACAACCTGTCAGGACAGTAGGTAGTGGGAAGTTTTCCAATGGGGACAAAAACAAAAGCACATTTTTAGTATAGTAAGAGTTAAAATTTCTGACAATGTTTTATTGCTGGCTGTAAATTCCTGCCCAGGTGTCTACTGTAACTTCCTGTATGGGTGTCACAGAAAGGGGAAGTGAGGCAAAAATTAACACATCCACACTATAGGCAGTGCTAAATAAAAATAATGGCTAGACTGCAACTGATCTTTTTATAGATTCACTCAACATTGAAAAGTCTGTCAAACATATTTATAAAACAATGATGTGACAGCCACCAAACATTAGGTGGTAGCGAATCATTCACTGTATATTAAAAACACATTGAGCAGGAGGATTTACCTTAAATGTTTAGTGAATTTAACATAAATCACGGTACATGCAAAAGCTGTGAAAAACAAGCTGAAACAAGGCACCATTAGGTGCCTCCATGTCCCCATATCATCTTGAAATACTACTGCATTGTGCCCTAGAAGTTCTCTAAACTCTAGGCTTTAGGATAAGCCATGCATTAAACATGACCAACGTGCCTCGAAGCTGCCATTCATTAGATCCAAGTGCACGCTTTCTCTTCCATAAGGGTTTAGGGGCTTTTGTTGCGTACAGCACTTGTATTTCAAGATCAGAACTTATTACGCAGGCTTTAGATGATGCCTACTTCAGAATCTCAGTACAATGTTAGAACAGGTGCTACAATACTGGACATACCTGAAAGGGTGAATTGAAAAATTCACAGGCAATAAGTGTGATAAAATGTATGGGATGTCTTTAAATACTGGTCCCCTACAATTTGTGTTCTACCCAATACCTTAACTGCTTACATCAAAATTTTTTTACATGCATATCAACACTAACCATGAACATATGACAAAAATGTGGACATACCATGCCTTCTTCGCCATGGAAACGCACAGCAATACCTTGCTTAAGTTTTTCACAGTTTGATTTAAACACCACTTCACAACTGCTCCTAAAAATAGAATCTAAATATGTAAAAAAAATTAATTGCATTCTTGTTAGAACAAAATCTCTCGATTAAACAAGTAGTTTTATGGTTCATACCTCTATGAACTAGCAATATGTCATTCTCATTTACAGGTCTATGAACCATATCAGAATCTGGCTGCCCAGCATGTAGATGTTCATAAAACCACTCGCACCGTTCTTTAAAAGGCTGCAATACAAAAAAAAAAACAAGGTTGTATTTCTCTAAAATTATAGATCCCTGGTGTACCACCCTCACATTACCTATGCAAATTATATTCTTCTGAGCTAAAGAAGATTGCATCTCAAACATACAAAAATATATTAATGAAAAACAAAACAAATACAACCCTCTGTGTTTTGCACTTTAAATGAGATCCAATTCAGGATAGCAGGTTCAAAAGAATTGCATTTATATAGTGCTTATGGTGCCATGATGAAACCTAACATATCTTTCTGCAGTGATCAATGTCCATTTGAGCAAGATGGCTGCCATCTTCATGGTGAATGGAAAGGCTCCTGCACACACAGGTTATCAATGCACCAAAATCACACAAGCATATCTGTCATCAAAGAACAGTGTTGACAATCTTATGTGTAAGTGTATTTAATAAATAGCAGCTGTCCTGCACAAGCTGAAGTGAATCACAGCATAGGATATCAGTATCTAATGATGTGCCTATTATTTATCTGAGCTCATCAGCTCAAAGCCTTATTTATGGATCATAGCATTATCTTTTTACATTTTGAATAACATATACCTTGTATTATACACACACATATGCCATTCCCAGCTAGCTAATCAAGAGGCCAAAGACCCAGCCACCCAGAAACAGTCAAGGAGAAGATGTCAGCGCCAGTGAGGGAGTGAGAGGAGGTGAGCATCTGGGGATGCTTTAAGGTTAGCGGCAAGACTAGGTCTTCAGGTAATACTATGTAAAATATTCAAGATTGTCCTCTTCCTGGTTAAAGTAGGTTATCTAGATTTACAAGTGTTACATTTGTGGAAGTGTGTCAAGGCAAAAAAAAAAAACAACAATTATTCATTATATAACTCGCTTGACAATATCAACCTAACAAAACTTGGTGACCCTCCTTTCCCACTTACATTACATGATGGTTTACCTTGCCAGTACTGGTTTTTATTTTTGTGCATTTTAAAGTTAAATGTTAACGTGTACATTAAAATGGAACTTTAGTCAGAAAATAAAGTCTTGCTAGATCACTTCAGCCTGGCCCCTTTTGCAGGTATAACTGTGTAAAACATTAAAAATAAGTGCCTATACTATTTAAAATCCAGTAATACACAGTCTCCCCCCCTCTCTGCTGTGCTTGTTGCTCAGCATTTTAAGGCATTGTGGTGAATCTGTGGAGGCCAATCTGCTGACAGTCTAAAGATTAAAGTGGAACTAAACCCATCGATTTAACAGTTTAAAAAAACAGTTACATTCCAAACATGCCAGAAATGCCAACTGTCACATTTGCTTGTGTTCTCAACCAAACTGTCAAATCATCAAATGACTGGTTGTTATAACTGATCACATGTTCAATACCATGGCAATTGCAGATCAAACAGATGGCAGCTTCATTTGCTATAAAGGATAGGAGGGTTTAGTTCTGCTTTAACTGCTGCTCAGGTGTCTGGACTTCAAGAAAATGGCAGCCTCCAGCAAGAAGAAGTAGGAACAATGCTGGAGGCAATTTACAGCACACACTAATTTCGGTGGCATAATTATTAATGTGGAATGTATGTTCCTTGCTAAAGAACATTATTTTTTTTATCAACTGTTATGAGTAAAGTTCCAGTTTAAGTGAAAACTATCTTTCAGTTTGGAGCTTGAAAAGGTTTTAACCCCATCAGGTTTTTATGGGTGTCTGTGTCCCCACTGGGGAGATTCACCCTTTTATTTGTCCTAGTGACTAATATCTTGGCATTTGAAAGTGAAGGGAAACCCAAAAAGGTGAGCTGTCACTGGAACAGAACAAAGGGGACACTTGTTGCAGTAGAAACATGTCTGAGAGAATTTTCCTTACCTTACTTTTATTAGTTTTCAAAAACAGGGATATTCCTAGTGACCACCCTAAGCCAAGAAATGCCACAAATACTGCAGCAAGCCTGCAGCTATTATTTGTCAGGCCTGATTTAAAAAGCAATTTAAAAAAAAAGTGTTACTAAACCCACAACAGTAAAATCAGTCTTTATATGCGTAAATCATGCTTGTTATACTCACTGTGGAAGCAAAAGGGGTTAATGCTCTGCATTGTTTAAAAAGGCTGTTTGATCCTGACTTCTCTGAGCCTTCCCTTCTTCCAGTGTCCCCCTGTTATCTCCTGATAAGACATATTGTGTGGAGTCACTCTGCATATGCTCAGTTTGGTGTGTATTGCTAGAGAGTTTTTTTTTCTTGGAAGAGTGCATGTGAGCAGCACAAGGCCAATCAGCACTGTCTAGACAGAGGTCAGGTGTTCTGCATCCACCTTAAGCAGAAAGAAAACTCCTACAAGCTTTAACCAGTGCTCTGTTGGACACTGATAGAAGTCACAAGACTGCTCTAACTGCTGATAAAAGGTATTTAGCAGTTTATATTTACAAAAATAGTTGCATTTCCATGTTCTGTGTACTGTGGAAGACCAGATATAGTGAATGCAAGGTCCTGGGTTTAGTAACACTTTAAGTCGTATTAATGGATGCAACATGTTGGTGTCATGATTTGCTGCCCCACCCTTTCAAAGCTGTTTTGGATGTGGCCAGATGATGGACTATCAACAAGCAAACCATCAAGGTGGGATGTCTGTGCCTGAGGAGACCAGCACACTGTGCAACATGCTTGCAGCCCTAGGAATGTTGTGTGAGAGATGCAGTGAACTCCTGGAGGACCAACTTGTTTGGGCATGTAAGTCCAGCCTGAGGCTATCTGTAACTGCACAGAACATTCATTGGTCTGCAAGCAGAGCACTTATACATATGGGCATGCAAGTCCAACATAAGGTAGTCTACAGCTATACTATTTGAATATCTGTTGCATAGCTGACACTGCAACTGAAAATCAGCATGCATGGAACTGTCAGCGATGCCTGCTTGCAGCTGTGTGACTGCTATGAGAAACTCAAGTGGCCGAGTTAATGCTCGCAGGTGACACTAGCTTTTCTCTAAGACTGTAGGAGTGACTGTAGCTGCTGCTTACTAATCAGCTGTGTGATTCTACTATGCAGACTCGCCTTGCTCATTTATATCTCACGTTGTTTTGTCTGGCTTATATGTGTTCGCCTACCTAACAAATGACGGCTTTCCACTTTTGCTGACTTGCTTATTTACTAGGGTTTTACAGGGGTTAGACAAAAAAAAAAAATTAAAACACTACATGATTTCTAGGTGTGAAAGTGGCAACATGTTTCACATTGAAAGCGGAAGTGATGTAACATTCTTTTGCTTCTGCTGTGTGATGAGACACCTAGCTAACAGGTGGGAAGTCTCACTTTTGTCATTCACTGCATGTGCTACTAGTAATATGAAGTCATGTCAGAATGTACTGAGCTTCAAAGAGAGCAAATAGTTGGTGCCCACTTAGCTGGTGCCTCTGTGACTGAAGTTGCCAATTTATTTGTGGTGTTACGAGGTACAGTATCAAAGATTATGACGGCATATACAGTTTATGGGAAAACATCGTCTGATAAGCATGAGCGGTCAACATGGTCAAATGACAGAAAGAGACAAAAGGACATTGTATTGGATTGTGACCCAGAATATAAAAAAAAAAAAAAAAAAACGCTGCAAAAGTGACTGCAGCGCTCGATGTCTGTCTTACCAGGACTGCAGTCAGTTTGGCAAAACTGGTTTTCTTATTCCGGGTCACAATCCTGCACAATGTCACAAATGGTATTTTAACTAGATAAATATTGAAGTATTACAAATTTTTTATAAATCAAATACTAGAATAATTATTTTTTTAAAAAAAGTATAGTGAATACAAGTTAAATAAAATCACCTGGGCTTTTATTATGTGCATAAATCTCGACATCAGCTCTGGACACTCCAGAAGAAAATGAAAATGATCAAATATGATTTTGGGATTTCTAAAAACATAAGAAAATATTTTATAGTGAATTAAAATTTTAGATATATTGGTACTTTCACTGTTAAAAATTACACATTTGCTGTTAACCGAACCCTGTCAGGAAAGAAAAATAAAAAAAAAGGTGTGCCACTGCTTACTTTTTCAAAAAACATGTTTTAGGCTGTCCTTATTCACCTTTCAGTATTTCTAAATCAATGACCTGGATTAATCACGTCATAAAAAATTATGACCTGAATTAATCATAAATGAAAAAAACAAAAAAGAAACTTGTGTTTTTTGTGGGTCAGCGATTCAATAAGCAGTGAGGTAAGTAAAGTAGTAAAAGCCCTAGACAATGCACCTTCAAATCAGGTCAGCTATGGAAGTTCCCTTAATTATTATCCTGACAAGAGTTAAAATTTCACCCAAGTCTGGTATCGCTTTATGGTAACATGATGGATATCACCTCCCATTTCAATAAATAAATATCAATGTTTTAGACTACTATTCTAGAGTCTCCTAAACTTGAATATTGCTATGCTCTACCTGTTCAGATATAATAGTGCCCTATGCCAGCCTTTTTAAACTAGGGTGACTAGGCACCCTGGGGTGCCTTAAGTTGTCTTTAGGGGTGCCTTAGCAAACTGCCTACTAATTGCACACAAGCGATCGGATGGATCAGCCTACAGGTTTTCATTATGCACTACTACAGCCTTCTAGCTGTCGGTGTCCTAACAACCAATGACATTGCGGTTGATAAGGAGGACGTTTGCCTCATGCACAGCATTTTTGTTTGCCCCTACTCTACCCCTCTCCATCAGCACTGGGGTCACATTGTCTGAGTGAGGGAGAGAAATTGAAGTAGAAGAGAAACTGGAATACTACTCAGTACCAGTGTACAAAGGTGTATTTGCTTTGGAATAATAATTCACCTCTAATATTGGGTGTCCTACACATGTGGATGTTGCTGTGTTATGTAAAACTGTAACTTCAGTTTTTGAAATTTTAGAGTGGGGTGCCTCAAGAGTGTGCAGAATTTTAAAGAGTGCCATTACTAAAAAAAAAAGTTGAGAAACACTGCTCTATGCAATGTGATTTAACCATAAAACATACTTTAGCATGGCAGCAGAAAGTAAACACCAAAATAGGGCCTGTATTAAAATTTACTATAGGTTTGTCCTGGAAAACTTTTAAAACTAGAAATGGCATTCCTTTTATTCACACATAATGACATGTTAGAGTCACAGTAACATGGGAAAAATTCTTGGTCACATAATAAAGCAATTTTAGCAAAAAAAAAAAATATGTTTAATATATAAAAAAAAAAAAAAGCGGTTTATATAGGCAACGCTAATCAAACCGCTAAAAAAAAAAAAACAGTCGTCGTGCCTATCAAAAGATCAGGAAATTGATCTTGGGTATCTTTTTTTTCTGTTCAGCCAGCAGTCTTAGCAAAAGAAAAATATGGATGTCTCAATAAAGAGAACCTGTCACAAAAAAAATGATATAGGGAACATCTTGTCCCCTATGTGATAAAAAAAAAAAAATTGTAAAAAATTAAAGTTACACCCAAGCACATAAATTACTCCAACCCCCCCCCCCCCCCCCAAAAAAATAAAATTTTGAGGCCCCCACCCCCATATATACAAACTTACATATCATCAAACGTCACAGTGAGAGCAATATTTCTAGCACTAGATCACCTCTGTAACACAAACTGATGACCTGTGGGGGCTTTTAAAGCATTGCCTAGGGAAAATATAGGGTACTGAAGTTTGCATGCAAATTTAAGGTTTGACATTTTGAGTATCTATTTACTCAATACAACCACATCTTTTATATTTTACAAAAAAAAAATGGGTAATATGTTGCGTTTTGTGTGCCCTAAAATTAACTTTACTGTATTTTTTACTGATATTTTGCCTTTGCGGTAATGTTGCATGACATAAAAAATTGCAACTATCACCATTTTATTCTCTAGGCCAGTGTTTCTCAACCTTTTTCAGTCAAAGCACCCTTTAATATTATGGCCAGTCCCCAGGCATCCTTTAAAACTATGGACTGTCTAGAGGTACCCCATTCTAAAATGTAAAAAACTATTTTAATAGTTTTGTATAACGCAGCAACATCCACACATGTAGGACACCCAACATTAGAGGGGATTTATTCTTTCAAAGCAAATACACTTCTGCACACCTGTACTGACTAGTATTCCAATGTTTCTCTTCTCCCTCAGTTTTTCTCCATCTCTGAGCTAATGTGACCCCATTACTGATGGAGAGGGGCAGGGGATGATCAAACTAGGATGCTGTGCAGGCAACCGACATCCTCCTTATCAACTGATGATGTTATTGGCTGTCAGGATGCCTGTGGCTAGAAGGTCGTAATGTGCCTGTGTGCCCGTAATGAAAACCTGTGGCTTTTGTGTATCCAAAAGGCAGGCTTGTTCAGAGCTCTGATGAAGAAGGTTTGGCCTTTGAAACGCGTCAACTGAACTGAGTGTCTACCCCCACGATGGGACTCGCGCTGGCTCCTTATCTTTGAAGTCCCTGTGAGGACTTACATGCCTGATTTTATTCGCTGTTTGTGAGTACCTTTCTTATTAATAAAATATTTGTTTACTGAGGTAATGCGCAAGGTTTGTGCGCTTCTCGTTTAAATTCTGGCATGTGGCTGTGTCCATGCATCCACTTCTACAGTGCATCTAGAAAGTATTCACAGCACTTAACTTTTGCCACATTTTGTTATGTTACAGCCTTATTCTAAAATGTGAAAGACGTTTGTTTTGAAATCTTTGCAATTTATTAAAAATAAAAAATGAAAAAAGCCACATGTAGATAAGTATTCACAGCCTTTCAGCATTCACAGTCAAAATTGAGCTCTGGTGCATCCTGTTCCCACTGATCATCTAGAGATATTTCCACAACTTGATTGGAGTCTACTTGTGGGAAATTCAGTTGACTGGACAGGATTAGGAAAGGCATAAACCTGTCTATATAAGGTCCCACAGTTAACAGTGCATGTTAGAGCACAAACCAAGCCATGAAGTCCAAGGAATTGTCCGTAGACCTCCGAGACAGGATTGTATCAAGGCACAGATCTGGGGAACAGAAAAATTTCTGCAGCATTGAAGGTCCCAAAGAGCACAGTGGCCTCCATCATCCATAAATGAAAGAAGTTTGGAACCACCAGGAATCTTCCTAGCATGGGCCACCCGGCCAAAATGAGTGATCGAGGGAGAAGGGCCTTAGCCAGGGAAGCAATCAAAAACCCGAAAGAGCTCCAGCATTTCTCAGTGGAGTAGAATCTTCCAGAAGAACAAACATTCTGCAGCACTCCACCAATCAGGTCTGTATGGTAGAGTGGCCAAACGGAAGTCACTCCTCAGTAAAAGGCAAATGGTAGCCCGCCTGTAGTTTGCCAAAAGGCACCTGAGGGACTCTCAGACCATGAGAAACAAAACTCTCTGGTCTGATGAAACAAAGTTTGAACTCTTTGGCTTGAATGCCAAACCTTATGTCTAGAGGAAACCAGGCACCGCTCACCACCTGGCTAATACCATCCCTACAGTGAAGCATGGTGGTGGCAGCTTCATGCTGTGGGGATGTTTTTCAGCGGCAGGAACTGGGAGACTAGTCAGGATCGAAGGAAAGATGAATGCAGCAATGTACAGAGACATTCTTGATGAAAACTTGTTCCAGAGCGCTCTGGACCTTAGACTGAGGCGACGGTTCATCTTTCAACAGAGCAACGACCATAAGAACATAGCCCACATAACAAAGGAGTGGCTACGGGCCAACTCTGTGAATGTCCTGAAGTGGCCCACCCAGAGCCCAGATTTGAACCCGATTGACGATCTCTGGAGAGATCTGAAAATGGCTGTGCACCAATGCTCCCCATCCAACCTGATAAAGCTTGAGAGGTACTGCAAAGAAGAATGGGAGAAATTGCCAAAAATAGGTGTGCCAAGCTTGTAGCATCATACTCAAAAGGACTTGAGGCTGTAATTGGTGCTTTTTAAGTTATTTTTAATAACTTGCAAAGATTTCAAAATGAACTTCTTTTACATCTTCATTATGGGGTATTGTTTGTAGAATGTTGAGGAAAAAAGAGAATTGAATCCATTTTGGAATAAGGCTGTAACATAAAATGTGGCAAAAGTTAAGCGCTGTGAATACTTTCTGGATGCAGTGTAGGTTGCCTTGCACGCACCTTGGGTGGATGCAGACACGAAAAACGGGCTCATGCACATTTGAATAAGGCCTATATGTAACCATCAAGCATGTAACACAATATAATATGCAGCCATTTAAATTTCACTTACTACAAAATGTTACTTGTGCATAATAATTTAACTTACCTTGTAACAAAACATTTTAAAACTTCATCATGATTGCACACAAATTCAATGAAACGAGGAGATGTCATTCTGAAAGTAGTTATAAAAAAAGTTTGTTAGATTTGAAAACAAGTTGGCCAACTATGTATAGTACATATCCAAAAAGAGGCTTACCAGATTCACAAATGAATTTAAAAAGGCATACTCAACACTATAAATACAGTCGTACACGGTGCATAAATGCAATAACCCTCAGCAACAACACATCATATCTCAGTTTACTATAGTCGCTTAGTTAAACAATTTCAGATTGAGTTATGGGTTACTTAAATTGTTACTAAACTCACAATAGTAAAATCAGTCTGTATATGTAGTAAAGCATGCTTGTTATACTCACTGTGGAACCTAAGAGGTTAATCCTCTGCATTATGTAAAAATGCTGTTTGATCCTGACTTCTCTGACCCTCCCCTTCTTTCATTGCCCCCTCTTATCTCCTGATAAGACATATCACATGGAGACAATCTACACATGCTCAGTTTGGTGTGTATTGCCAAAGAGTTTCTTTTTTCTTGGGAGAGTGCATGTGATCAGCACAGGGCCTATAAGCACTGTCCAGACAGGGGTTCTGCATCCTCCTAGAGCAGAAAGAAAACTCCTCCTACAAGCTTTAACAAGTGCTCTGCTGAACACTGATAGAAGTCACAAGACTGCTCTAACTGCTGATGAGAAAAGTTATTCAGCAGTTTATATTTACTAAAATAATTGCATTTCCATGTTCTGTGTACTGTGGGAGACCAGATATAGTAAATGCAGGGTCCTGGGTTTAGTAACACTAACTCTGCACTACCTTAACAAGTGTATTGTCATATGTGACTTGCCATTCAAATTAACTTTCTTGTTGCAAAAAGAAGAACTCTCCCTATGTTTTATACAACTGATATTTAAAGAAAACCAGCTAATCATAATTAAATCTAGTTGCTACTGCTGCCTGATCTCACTGCTTTGTTAGAACAATGAAATCAATGAACTGCTAATGAGATAACTGTCAACAAGCAGGAAAATTCCTCAGCAGAAAAGATATTTAAGCCTAGTACACACAATCAGAAAATTGTACCACTTTCAAAACGTCTGTACGATAATCTCACCATTAGTAAACAGTTTTTGTACGGAATTATTCGAAGGCAGAAGCAGGACAATTTTTCTTCTACTATACCCGATTGTACAATTTTCATTTAATTAGTACAGTTTTTGTCCAAAAATACAATACAAACACATTACAATACAATGACATCACTTCTGAATTTTCATTTTGTTGTACAAGAATTTTCCTAACTTTAGTAACCTCTAACATCTTCACTTCTGATATGGGACTAGCATGCAAAAAAAAAAAAAAAGACAATCATATTCTCATCATGTGTACAGGGCTTTAATCTATGTAGACCTAGAATTAGCTAGTCATACATGGCTAGATTTGTCACTTTTCACCTTCAAGCCAGCCCATGGGTTGAAACAAGAGAAATCACTGGATTCCCCCATCCACTCCAAACAGCAAGGATGCGAAAATCCCCCCCCCGGCTATTGTACTCTGACAACCGACATCTTTGACTCTGAATACCCACTCAGTGCCTGCTGTCAATTTTCTACTTGGCTCCTTCAATATTGTAATCAAAGTCTCTCATGCCAACAGTGCATCCCACAGATTAAATTTTGGCAGGATCAGCAGGTATCAGCTGAAATGCGAGCTGTGTATGGTTAGCATTACTGTGTCCATCTTTCGTCAGGTCCATCTCACAGCACCAGCTGCAAAATGAGCCTCCAAAAACATTTGGGCTTACTAACCCACTTCCTGCCCAGCCTATTGCAATAATACAGCCAGGAGAGTGCTCTATTATCCCAGATGGACATCATATGGTGTGCTCCCGCTCATGCACCTCCGGCATGCCCTAGCACTGCACGGCAGTATGATCTGTAACCCATTGTGTTCACCAGACACAGAGGAACACAGATTGTTGTACCGGTCAACTATGCGGGTCCTTCTACCACAATTGGTCACAGTGATCATACGTTACAGGGCCAATCACCGCAGATATGTGCCTGCTGCACCATTTACTTGTACGAAAAAGTGTCCTTCTCTTTGTATTGTTTCCTTTGTGTGAAATAGCTGGTGATCCTGCCAGTCCCACTGCTTTCTTATTTAAAAGTTACCATGCAAGGCATGGAATTACATCTGTCCCAGCATGATCAGTTTTTTTCTTTGCATCCCATGGCAGCAAAGTCTGCCTGTAATCCAGGGGTCAGATTTGTGCTGACATGCCCCCTGCATAGCTCTTCACTGGGAATATTAGTGTAATGCAGTGTCTCTTTCTCCTGCTGACACACTCTCGACCCCCTCCCCCCCTTTCCGCAGTCTCCAGAGTAAGGGTTCACATATTCACATAAGTCTCTAAAAAGTTAGTGGAAGAGAGGTAGAGGTGAGGAAGGGGAAGGGAGATCAGTGGCAGTGGTAAAAACAGGCATGCATGCTTTCCCTATTGGATCAATTTCAGATACACTATATTGCCAAAAGTATTGGGACACCTGCCTTTACACACACATGAACTTTAATGGCATCCCAGTCTTAGTCCGTAGGGTTAAATATTGAGTTGGCCCACCCTTTGCAGCTATAACAGCTTCAACTTTTCAAAAAAGGCTGTTCAAAAGGATTAGGAGTGTGTCTATGGGAATGTTTGACCATTCTTCCAGAAGCACATTTGTGAGGTCAGGCACTGATGTCAGACGAGAAGGCCTGGCTCGCAGTCTCCCCTCCAATTCTTCACAAAGGTGTTCTATCGGGTTGAGGTCAGGATTCTGTGCAGGCCAGTCAAGTTCCTCCACCCCAAACTCGCTCATTTATGTCTTTATAGACCTTGCTTTGTGCACTAGTGCGCAGTCATGTTGGAACAAGAAGGGGCCATCCTCAAACTATTTGCACAAAGTTAGGAGCATGAAATTGTCCAAAATATCCCTTCACTGGAACTAAGGGGGCCAAGCCCAGAAAAATAACTCCACACCATAATCCCCCTCCACCAAACTATACACTTGGCACAATGCAGTCAGGCAAGTACCATTCTCCTGACAACCGCTAAACCCAGACACGACCATCAGATTGCCAGACAGAGAAGCGTGATTTGTCACTCCAGAGAACACGTCTTCACTGCTCTAATCTAGTGGCGGCGTGCATTACACCACTGCATCTGACAATTTACATTGCATTTGGTGATGTAAGGCTTGGATGCAGCTGCTCGGCCATGGAAATCTATTCCATGAAGCTCTCTACCCACTGTTGTTGTGCTAATCTGAAGGCCACATGACGTTTGGAGGTCTTTAGCTATTCACTCTGCAGACAGTTGGAGACTTCTGCACACTGGCACTTCAGCATGCGCTGACCCCGCTCTGTCATTTTACGTGGCCTACCACTTTGTAGCTGAGTTGCTGTTGTTCCCAGTTGCTTCCACTTTGTTATAATACCACTAACAGTTGACCGTGGAATATTTAGTAGCAAGGAAATTTCATGGATGGATTTATTTCACAGGTGGCAACCTATCACGGTACCACGCTCGAATTCCCTGAGCTCCTGAGAGCGACCCATTCTTTCACAAATGTTTGGAGAAGCAGTCTGTATGCCTAGGTTGCTTGGCCATGGAGGTGATTGGAACACCTGAATCCATTGATTTGAAGGGGTGTCCCAATACTTTTGGCATTATAGTGTAGTAATAGATATTCTTTGGTGAGAAAAACATGTACAACTTATTGGCACATCAGTCAGATTAAAAAGCAACCAGCCCAAATAATATTTATTATATGACTTGTCCTCAACTCAGAGAAAAAGGTCAGTAACTGCTTGCAGACAACTTCAACATATGCACATACAAATTCCCTCTTTCACCTCATTAAATTTTGGCTTAATTTGCAACAAGCTGATTTATTTTATTTCTAAGAAAACAATGCCTGAAAATGCTGCTCATTCAGTTTAGCAGCTAGATATTACAATATATAATCTTTATATAAATGGTATACAGGCATGTGAGTTAAGCAGATGGTTAAAAAAAATTACAGTAAAAATGATTTTTAATACATGATTTAACATCCAAGCAAACTTTATACTCAATGCAGATGAATGGAAAATACTTACCTGGGAGGCATCTGGCAGGAACAGCACATATAGAAGGCTTGAATGACAGCACTGAGCCTATTTGCTGTCATTGAGATAACGTCCTGACCATCTGCAACAGCTTCCTGTTCGACGGCAGCTTCACAGCTCGCAAAGTGTCCTGTGCTTGGTGATATTGAAAGATGCTCTGGGCTCCCGTCTTCTCCAAAGTCTGACTGATGAGCTAAAGAAATATCGTGTTGATTTACTGGCTTTTGTTTCAGCAAAAGGCTGGCGATACTGGTGGATGTTTTCTTGTTGTTAGTCAGTTCCGCAGCTATAAGCACTAACCATTCATCTAAAGAATGCCAAAGTAATTCTAAGGGCTGCAAAAGAAAAAAAACACAGTTCATATCAAACTGCTGCACAAGATAATATTTCAGGAAAAATAACTGGTGAACAGGTTTTACTAAAAACAGCAAGAAAAATAGATACAGAATAGAGTTTGAATTAATGGTAAAGTGGGTGTAAATGCTAACTGAATGTCTTTTAGTTTGCTAAAGCAGTACTGATTAAAAAAAAACAAAAAACAGCTGCTGACAGACTCTGCTTCACCGCTAGTCTGAATCAAATACTATTTACCGTGTATTCTTAATCCAGTCCAGCAAATATTTTCTTTCATTTTTAAGATTTCATTTTCTGACCCCTCGAATCATGTGTATTCTGTAATGGTCTTTTTACCTGATGTTGGAATAAATTTATATCTGAACATTCAGTGTGGTGCTTCAATCTTTAGGTTCAAACTGCCCCTGTGGGCTGGTATCCCAGTATCTTGAAGCAAGCAACCCTCTGCTATGTTGATAATCCTTTCTAGTGTAAAGATATCACTAGCAACAACATGGATGAGGTGAAGGAAGCCTAGCTAAGGATTTTGCAAAGAGAACTGGATAAACGAGAGCAGTGGATTATATTTTAGGTTAAGGCTTCACTTCAGGCAAGTGGCCAAAAATACTGAAAAATATATTTTCCCTGCAGTCTTACATTATACACATAAGCCCTGCTAGGTTGATGACTGACTACTATAGTTAAAGGGGTTCTATACAAAATACCCTTTCATTCTATAACATCAGCATTGTAATAGCAATACCAATAACAAAAGTTATTTTTGACAATACAAAGCTTACTTAAAAATCTTCTTTCATGTTATGATTGCTGTCCATCTGCTAACCATCTCTTTCCACAACTTCCTGGATTCCCTGCATGCTTTGCAGCTTTTCCTCTGCTCTTTCGTTTAAATTTCTAAGGATATCCCAAGGTACTTTGCTGCCTGAAAACAGTGTCCTGTACTGATTCTGCCTACTGAAATTCCTCCTCTCAGCATCTCTGTAGTCCAGAAGGCAGGCGCTGTGAAACGTGTGACACAGCAGTGCCTACTCACAGGGCAGAGCAAGTTGCCAAGAACTCTTGAATTTTGTACGTGATTTCTCAGCAAAATAAAACATGGATGGATGGGTGGGTTTGCGTTGAACATTAATTTGTTTGTGGTGCTCAGATGCAGTGTAGTTCCTCTTTAATATGACACGAGCGCTGCCATGCCCTGGGTTAACACCAGGTATAAAGCGAACGCAGCCCTGATTTCTACATTATTACACAAAAGCTTTGGTGTTTGAGGCATACAGTGGTCACCCAAAAAAAAAACAAGCAAACTAATCACAGGAGTTCATACTAACTGACATGCTACTTAAAGTGAGGATGTGCTTTATTCCTGCAGGACAGAGCAACAAAATCACTTTAAGTCCTCCTCCACAGCAGCAAATACTCACCTTTCCTTCAGTATTTCATCAGTTCATTTGGTTGCTGGTAGCTTTCACAGGGCTATGGACTCTCAGTATGAGACATCACTGATGCTGGGTCACATGCTCCTCCAAACCCAAAACTACTCTGCCTGTTTGTGTTTTTTTCTTTTAGATTATAGAGATTACAACAGGAGGAGGTGGAACTCATAAATTGATGGTAACATTATAAAAAATATTTAAAAAAGGAAAATAGGAAAAGATAATCACACTGAAGGAGTATCTAACATGTATAAAAAAAGCCCACTCAACCCACCAGGTTCCAACCATAACTAAATTATCACTTTTGGATGTATATGCACCTTAAAGTGGTTGTAAACCTCAAACATGAAATCCCTCTATAGTGTGTACTTGTCTCAGTTAAGAGCACCAAGTGTAATTTCTGTCTGCTGCTTCAATCCTCTGCTATCAGCATTAATTACTTCTGAGAGGTTTTGCTGATACCAAGAGAATGGTGACAGGGGAGGGAGCTCCAGCAGATTGACAGCCTCTGTTCCTGTGAATTGTGTGGAGGAGGGTGTGTTTCTGCCCTCCAATCAGCACTCAGAACACTCCTCAATGAGCTCTGCAGAGTGCAACTACCCAGTGGATTCTTTTAAATAATACACAAAAGGGAAAAATGAGAACTAATGCTGCACAATGAAAAAAAAACAAAAACATGACACTAAGAAAAACGAATAACAAATTGAAATTAAATTAGTGAGAAAAAAAGAAGGAAATATGCAAACCCACTTGGCAAGTAACAATGTTTAACCTGAAGGATCAATTTGTTCACATCTAAATGACATAAATATAATGTTATATAACATTTTTGATGCAGATGACTCCAGTGCTGCACAAGCAAAAAGGAGGATGCAACTAACCCAGTCATTTGTGGAGGAAAGATATTTGATACAGAATTCAAATTAATAATCCCAGATTAGTTTTCTATAGGAAAGATTTAGACACTGATGAACACAATAATACTTTTTGTGCTCTCCTTTTCTTGAGGCACTTTGAAGGGCACAAAGTCTTAAACATTTGAGTTATACTGTTGCCTACAGGAGGATTGGACACAGATAAACAAAACATTGTAGACCAACCCAGAATAACCCCACCTACTACCAGCAAGTCTCAGTTTTGTAGCAAAGCATGTAGCAAGAGCATGATCATAAACACCGAGGGGTGGGGAAATGTTCCTCAATAGGCAGTAAATACAAAAATCCTATATTTATCTCATCCACTCAAGGAAACGGGAAATCTTAAACCTCTAAGACATTCAACAAGAACTTTGGTAAGCTTCGGGGGATCCTGATGATGACGTCAACACATTGGGGCGAGTTCCCAATACCATTCCCCTCTAGCCAGCTGTCACTTCTGCCCGTTGCCTCCTCCTGCCCTCTGCCAGCTGTCACCTCTGTACTCATGTCTTTTCAGCTCCCTCCTCCACCCCCACCACTCCTAACCCACACTACCCTCCATCCCTCCTAAAATTTTCCTCAACTCCTAAAGCCTCCTACTGTTTATCCGCTGCTGCAAATAAACAACTGGCTGACCTTACATTCCTTTAATTTGACCACAGCCACCAATACATGGCCCAGCACTCATGTGCTCTCCTGTACCACTCCAATTTAACACTCCAGAGGTCCCTTCCAGTCATCCAGCAATCTCCCAATGACCCTCCCCCCAGCGATCACAGTCTTTTCCATGGCAACCACCCCAGTCTTTTCATCCCCAACCCCTATTTCACCCTGCCCTCACTTACCCCCTACTCCCCCTCTCACCCTGCCCTCACCCAATTCACTAACTCCCCCACCACCACCTCCCAAACTACCTCTCCAACTGCTCTTCCTAGGCAATAGGTATCGGTAACTGGTATCGGAGAGTACTTTAAAAAAAAAAAAAAAAGTATTGATACTCTACTCTGTGTTAAAAGAATGGTATCTATGCAACCCTAGCAGAAATCAAAGACTTAGAGATGCCCTGTCCCTCTGGGCTAGGGGCTATTGAAGCCCCTGGGCCTCAACAACCATGCAGATACAGCCAGTGCCTGTGAAGCAGGTCAGCAAATCTGTCCTTGAGAAAGAAGATCCTGGCAATCTGGCAGAGCCCACAGAACATCTACCAGAAGTTTAAGCAGGCCAAATCCACCTGGGCTAGTTTGGGGGCAATGAGGGTCACCGAAAATACCCTCCATCTGGATCCTGTGAGGTAGATGAATAAGAAGTTTTAGTTGAGGAAAAGCATAGGTCAAGGTATACTAATCCCGGCTAAAATTAAATGCTACAGCCATCTGCTCCATACATTCTATAGACAAGGAATTAACCACAGCAGCGCTAGGATATTTTAAGACATTCTGATCAGTCGGACAAGATTCGGCAAAGTAAGGTCCCAGACAGAACTGCATTAAGATCAAGACCCAGCAGAAATAACAAAGCTCTAGAAAGGGCCCTAAAGACAGGAACATTCTCTGCCAGAATTGTAAACACCGTGTCAAAGCAGTTGTAAACTTCAAACATGCAATGTGAAAAAAGCACATCATTCTATAATGTGTACTTGCCTCTCCCCAAAGCACAGTGTTATTTCTCTCTGCTGCCTGTTCCACTGTTATCAGGATCAGTTACTTCTGGCAGCATGTTAGAAAGGTGATGGGGCAGGGAGCTGCAGCACTTAGCCTGGGACTTATATTCACAGCTGTGCTTGTTCATACTGTGTGAAGAGGGACTTGTCCCTTCCCTCCAATCAGGGCTCAGAGCCGCCGGCTCTATGAAGACATCAGATCCCGCTCGCTACTCCTGGATAAAAGGAGAAATCCTTTCCTCTGCGTTTTCAGAAGGATTTACAGAAGAAATTCCAGCAGATACATAACTACAACTCATGTAGAAAGATGTTTCATCCCTGTGGAGGCTGCATTAGTTTTTCTTTTTTTTTTTCAGGCTTTTTCCCTCTGTTTTCACCTGGTGATCTGGCCTGTAACACACTTCCTGTCTAAAGGCTCTTTCACACTTGGCTGTTTTACCAACGCTTGCCAAACGCCCCTATAGCGTTTGGCAAGCGTTGGTCTGGCGTTTGCGGAGTGTTTTTTTTAACGCTCGGCAAACGCTCTGCAAACGCCACATGCGCGGTTTAGCGGCAATTGCTAGGCATTTGCAGAGCGTTAAAAACGCCCCACAAACGCCTATAATGCAGTTTGAATGGTGTTACCGCTTCGCAAACGCCCCGCAACCGCACCGCAAACGCCGTCCGGGTGTTTGCGGAGCGGCACCATAGACTAGAATAGGAGGCTTCAACGCCTCCTGACTCGACCAGAGGCGTCCATTTTGCCGCGACGCGCAAACGCTCCCGTTAGAACAGCACCATGTGCTGTAATCTGCAGAATTGGCAGAGGTGTTTGGGAAGCGGTAAAAATGCTTCCCAAACGCCTCTCTGCCGCCTGCACACAACGCTAGTGTGAACGTAGCCTTAGGGTGTCTGCATTCTGGATGAAGAAGTAAAGCAGAGACCTTTGGACAGCAACATGGTCAGTCTGGGGAGGCTAATGTTGGAGTGAAGCT